AATTGGAGGGGTCTGGGGGTCCCCTGCCCAGGCCTAATGCCTGGGCCAGAGGCATCAGGCCTGGGCTGGGGGCAGAACCAGTGATGGAGGTAAATGAGGGCGCCAGGCCTGGGCCAGGGGCTGATCCTGCGATTGGAGGGTGATGGGGGTAAATGCCTGAGGGCTCCCAGTATGTGAGAGGGGGCAGGCTGGGCTGAGGGACACTCCCCCACACACACACCCAGTGTACGAATTTCATACACCGGGCCCCTAGTTTAGCTATAAATAGTATCCTATTTATAGCACAAAACACATTCATCTACAGTAAAAAGTTTCATTTCACCATTAATCTTCCCTATGATATTCTTATTACTTTACCCTTTATATTAATCTTGGACTTTCCCTAGGCTTCTGAAATAACATGTCCATACACTTCAAGTAATTTTCACACAGCATCTTGACCAGTAACCTTCAATTGACCTTTTCTCACTGCACATCTTAATATTTGCAAAGTATTCCCCCAATTGTTAACCTAAAGTTTAAAGGTGAATTCCAATTCCATATGCTAATCAAAACCAAAAATATACTTTTTTAAAAGTGCTTTTCAAAGTTTAATGAGCATGCAAATGACCTGGCAGAGTCTTGTTTAAATGCGCATTCTGATCCAGTAGTCTGAGGTAAGACACAAAATCCTGCATTGGTAATTCTCCCAGGGGGAACTGACGCTATTGGCCTTCAAAACACACTGACTAGTAAAACTCTTAAAAAACTACTGAAAAGTCAATTCACTTGAGTCATCCAATACTACTTGAAACAAGCCAACTAATGACCAGAACTGGGAAATTACTCTTTTACGAAAATTCACTGCCACAAGTGGTCTTTCCCATTCTACACTAACCTTAGAGATACATTCTCTTTGCAAGTTATCTTTTGACTTCAGCACTCTTCTTTAAAAAACTTTCCAATAGTTCCCCAATGCCCTGATTTCCATTAAAAAATTTATTACTTAAAATATTAACTAATTAGAGAGTACCCTCAGACAACTAGATTTGTTAACACTATACATCTAATATCACTCCTTCTATCTACCCCACAAGGTTATTAAGAAACAAAAGGAAATGAGAAAATACTTTGAAAAATACAAAGCACTATGTAATTAATTACAAGCTATTTCCCACAATGAAGTTCAATAAGGTTACTCTACCCATAATGGTCTAGAAAATTATTTGTGCCTCTATAGAATGCACATATAATTTGGTGCCTTATAATGTTTCCTTCATAGAAGGCAATATACTATTTACAAAAAGGTAAACTAAGTTTGGTCCCTTTTCTGTTACCTATTCCTTCTTATGCTTATGTTCACCAGCATCTAAATTGCCATTTTCTATCTGAATGAAATGTTATAGGGGAGAAAACAAACTTATTTTTAGAAAAAATGATTTTTACAACATTCTAAATACCATCCTCTATTTCACCCAAGTATATTGAAATTGTCCACGAAAAAAAAGTCAAAGATGTAAACATGCATTAGTCATCAGGGAAATGCAAATCAAAACCTCAATGAGGTACCACTTCACCCCCACTAGGATGGATAGGATCAAAAAGTCAGGTAACAAGTATTAGTGAGAATATGGAGCAATCTAAACCATCATATATTGTGGTGGGAATGAAAACTGGTACAGCCACTTTGGAAGACAATATGGTAGTTCCTCAAACTATTATCACATGACCCAGG